GTGCAAATTTGTATTTTTGTAAAGCTTTGGAGAATTGTTGTGAAAAATCTGCAAAATTTTTAGAATTTGAAGTTTTGTACAGAATTCTATCTAATTTCTGCATTTATAGTATCAAATTTGAAGTTTTGCACAGATTTTTATTTGATTTGTTATTTAATTTTTTTGCAAATCTGCGCAGAACTGTAATAAAAAAAAATTCCTGATGAGTGTTACTATTGAAAGAGTGTTGGTTTCCTGCTAATTGATCTTATTATATATTTTTATTGCTTGTCAGGGTAGATATACACCCATCCAAACCCCTAAGACACGGGGAGATGAAAGCAACTACTTATTAAACTCACCTAGATTAGTCTCAGAATATAGTCCAATTTCTTACTTTTTATCCCTCTCTCTTTACTACCTTACAGTAGAACCAGGAGTAGTTATATTACTTCATTATAGAAGGGAAACACTCTTGCTTATCGCATATACAGGCGAATTATATAGCCTAGTTTTTGGGCATTCTCAAGCGCCTCAATTAATGAATTTTAATTAATGAAAAGTAATTTTAATCTATCAATCGAACTTGTCATTAAGATAAGTGAGATAGTTTATTACATGAAAGAAAAATTTTAAGTAGTAAAAAATAAACAGTGAGTTTACCATTTTAGTCAAAAAACTTTTTTTCCCAAATCACCTTTTTTTTGCGCTGACTTATCAAAACTTAAAATGAATAAAGTATTTTTCAAGTGTTTCCATGCTTTTTATTATGGATTTTCATAATCGATACACATTTTTTGTAAAATGCTCGACAAACTATTTAGAATCATCTCAAGCTACTACAATTATTAGAAAATTATAGTAATAGTAATGTTTGAGCATATCTCAATAATATCAGTATTTGTATTATTGACTTTTATCCAAAATGTTATAGCAATAGCCAAAATTACATAATAAAACTTGTGCACTATCTCGATCACTATGAATTTGCATCTAGATTGATATTTAAAAACACCCTTCATGAGGAGAGTATCTTTTTGCATTGTTTATAGATCATAATTAGAATTTTTAATGTATTTACAAAACAGGCAAAATATATTAAACATACAGAAGTTCTTATCATAAATAAGAACGTAACCTAATATTTGACCAAGACAAATGAGAAGGTCTTATAACATATAAAGTCCCGAAGCCAAGGCTAGATGCATTCCCTTTTGAAGACTACTGGGAAAACTATACTTCTAAGCGTACAAAATTTTAAGAACGTGCAATTAAGAACAATATGAAAAAGTGCATTTACAAAGGTATATACAGTATAAGTTTGGGCCCCGAACTTGAGTGTGCATTTAGGTGCATTTATGGAGGTTTTACTATAATACAATTTAACTCACAATCCTACTTTCTTTTCCCCACAGTAGTCTTGTGACATTCTTTAGCCGTGGCTAAATTAGAGATTGGAACCGGTGAATAATTTTTCGAGTATCGGTCAAAAATTTCTAGCATCGAAAATAAGCTTCATTCATTGAGTTTTTAATTTGAATATCATTGAGTATTAGTGAATGTTAAAATTTAACTATTTGTTTTGATAATAACAACATAATAATACATTTTTTGATTGAAATTTAACTTTGATAATGATAACATGATTATATAATTGATATAAATTATATATTAAAAATGCATTGATAGTAGTACAATTTATAATATTACTAAATTTTTTAAAAATTCATCAAACATTCAAACATCGGTCAAAATTTTTTCACCAATGCTCGAAATTTGAAAGTTTGGGATCAATGAATGCTTGAAATTCACCATTCCAATCTCTAGGCTAAATTAAGAAACACAATAAGTAACTAAATTTGAATCTGTCAATCAGCCAATTAAAGTGTTAGGGTCTCGCAGTAATTATCAGCTGACTTTAAGCAAGATAAATAAAGTCAGAAAAATTAACATTTTCTAATAGAAGTTTGTCGGTTTTGCATTAGTTTTGAGTAATTTAAATGAGACCGATTTTTCTGACTTTATTTATTGGACGAATACCGGTTAAAAATGCCAATTTTTTGCAAATATTGCTCAAAGTCAGCAGACGATTACTGCGGGACTGATTAACATCACTAACGATCACAAAGATAATTAGTGGTGGTAATTATGACAATCCATTATACAAAAAAACAGAAAACTGATATTAATAAGGGATAATAAGGGAAATGATAATTACAAGATAATTATGTAAAAATTAAAATTAAGGTGCAGCTAAGTTACAATAAGAACTGTTTGAGCCTGGAGCCTAGATATTTAATTATTAGGTTGTCTAATCTTTGTATTTAGATACGTTTTTTTAAGTCACTTAATTCACTAATTTTATGTACGGTACACCATTTGAGTCTTAAGTCAGAAAACATGTATAGATGAATGAATAAATTTCTTTACAAATTATTTCGAATGCAAATTTAAACCTTCAGCAATTAATTCATTATTTTTGCTTTATAATTACATACAATATAACAACTTTAAGTATAAAAAATGCAGAGAATAACTTTGCATTAATTACTTCATATTACAGAAAAAGAAATTATCACTCTAAAAGTTCCTGCACTGGTAACAATCCTACGATTCCAAGCTTAGTCAGAATTTCTAGATCTCTGGTATATTCATTGAACTTTCTAATTACATTTTGGGTATCTTTTTCATCATCTTGAGCGACGAGAATAGCTTTAACAACTTGACGTACAAAACCACCAAGTTTTGTACAAATTGCAGGATTTTTCTTTAATTTCTTTTGGTCGGTTGCTTTTAAATGCATTT